CAAGCTAACAGTAAACAATCCAGGGACCTCCAAGAACACCCCTTCCAACACTGACAGGGCAAACCACTAGTATGTCAAAGAGGAGCAAACCCTGCTCCCTTCTAGCACGGATGATGTTACCTAGTTTGGTACTGGAACATCTGCAAGAAAACTACCAAGTCAGAGAACACCAAGGATCCCACAGCAGGAGGGGAGAAGCATTTGCCAATCCCCTCCAACGTCACAACAGCGGCAAGAATTATATTTCCGCAACACTGGAAAAATAAAGGAATACCATCAGATGAAGAAATAATAAAAAAAAATACTAGAATGTGCAGAGATGACTATGAGACTGAAAGAAAAAGAAGAAATGGAATATTATCAAACTTGGGACTTATTTTATCGATGGCTAGAGGAAAGAATAAAGGATTAGGAACTAAATAAGTATTAGTGAATGGAAACTCTGACAGCACGTTGGTTGAAATATTATATATAATATAATATAATATATAATGTAATGTAATGTATAAAAGAAAAAAACTAATGTAATGTATAAAAGAAAAAACAATAAAAAACTTTTTTAAAAAAAGAAAGTCAGACCATCGGCCTTCCTGCCCAAGGATGCCTATCCATTATGGAGGTGGGCAAGGTGCTGGTACCCAAGTGGCTTAGAGATACTTTTGGTGTAGGTAAATGTTATTGAATAGGTCAAGGTCTCCCACACCCTGTAAGCTTTAGCTGAACTTATGCCATGCTATGACTACTAAAAATGCACATTATGCAAGACCTTATTCTTAACGCTTGGTACACCATGATGGGTGTTTTCATGACAGGCAATGCGTGTTTTTCAAAACCGTATAAAAGGGGGCTTCACTATGGAGCATGGATGTCCCATTTTGGAACTTGCTTTTTTGAAAATCAAAGTTTTAGTCCTTTCCACCTGTCAGGTGTGGTTGTTGGGCTTACATACCTGGCACCATCTACAAAGCATCTCCCCACCCCCTTTCCCCGCCTTCCCCCCTCCCCCACACACCCAGCAATCCCTGTGCTTGGAGGTTGAAAGAGCCTCAAGGAACGGAAAGTTCCAGATGTCAGGGAGGATATTTTTTTTTCTCCCTTTGGTAGATTTGCTTTCCCAGGAATGGGCCGGGATTGGGGGTGAGGCGTCTTTGTGTCCTTTGCTTCATGCACTCTCTGAGTCACCAGACAATGGTGGGATTCAGCCGGTTTACCCCACTTTGGCAGAACCGGTAGCTAATTATTTGTTCCCCAGGCCCAGAATCGACTTCCGGAAGCGGCATCCACACAGAGTACCGATTGTTCACCTATTTGAATCCCACCACTGGCATCAGATGAGGTGCCCACCACTGGCACCAGGACGTTAGGAAAGTCCCACCCTGGCCAATGTCCCTTTTCCCTCCCCATAGCATCCTTCCACAAGGAGGGCATCCAGAGCCCATTGGGGGTTTCCTGTGGAGCATGTTGACCCAAAATGTCTGTGGAGATTCCCAATCATCCAGGTCAAGGTGGTCCCAAAGAGTTTTTTTCAAAAGGCAACTGGACTTTCTTCAGCTTTTTTGGCTCGAAAATGTTTAGCTTCTCATCCAAGAAGCACAGAAGATGGATTGGGGGGCCTGATTGGACTGGCCACCTATGATCAGATTGCCTGCACAGGTTGACTTGTGTGGACAAATAGAATGAAATGTGAAAGCTCAAGTATATTTTTCTCAAGATGCTGGCTTTCAAAATCCAGATAGTTGTACTGTCTGAGCCCTTTGAGGTCTTTAGCATAAATCGTCTCCAGCCGAGACAGGAACGTTGTGGTCTTGTGGGGCTTGGCTGAGCGTTTGGGAAAAGAGCCAGGGGTCTAGGAACATGGGGCTGTGCAGCAAAGGGCTGAGGAAGGAAATCCTTCTCCCGGACTCACAACCACACTAGGAGGAGTCCCGTGGTTCCTTTCCAGCTAGCATGTCTGCCTTATGATCTCTTCCACGCTTGCTGGTTTGCACACCTGCCATTTCCCCCCCCCCCCTCCCCTCTTCAGGCTTCGTGCAATAAACGGAAAGGAGCAACTGAACTAAGAAGGATGGCAATAAAACAAAAGGCGAAGAAAAGGAAAGAACAGGAAACTCAGAGGGGAAGGGAAGGGAGGAAAGGAAAATGTCCAATAAGAAGGAAAAACGGATTCACCTCCTCAGAGGCTCTTGAGAAAAGTCATTATTATCCCATAAGCGGAGCTGTAAGTGAAGACGCCCATTATCCGCTCATGGACTCCCCTCGTCAAATACAGTATTAACTCTCCAAACGCCTCGGAGAAAATGGAAATAAAGCTGCACCTGGGGGGCTCTATTAACCGCCTTCCGGCGAAAGGTCCAGAGGAGGCGAGGGGGAGACGGTGGGCGGGCGTCTTTCGGACAGGGCCTCCTCGCAAGGCGAATGAGCGAGGAGGGCAACGCTCTGACCGCGTTCACACAACGCGCGTTAACCAGACGGTCTGCCTGCCAAACTTGGCTGGCGGCCACCTAAAAGAGGGGATCGGCTCGCGTTGTGGGCGGCGTCTGATTCAGATCCCGCTCCCCGA